CATGACTTAGCAACTGAACACCACCAACAGTATGGATACAACATAATTTAATCAGTTCTTATTGGTAGATAGTTTATTTGACTGAGCAACTGAACAAGTTGGTAAGTTGTGCTCTGACTCTTTTGCTATGCCATGGACTGAAGCCCGCTAGGCTTCTCTGTCCATGGGATTTCCCAGGCAAGAACACTGGAGTGGTTGCCATCTCCTTCTCCAGGGGATCTTCCTGACCCAGGGATCAAACACACGTCTCTTGTATTGGCAAGCAGATTCTTCACTACTGAGCCAACTTGGAAGCCCCAACAGGACAGATAACTGGTATATAATTTCTGCCTCCTACTATTTGTGGTTTTTTTTTTTTTTTGGCCACTGTGAGCTTCTTGATATCAAGAACTCTTTTTTAATTCTTTAGTTTTGAAGTATCTCATTTTTTTTCTTTTCTTAAAATTTATTTATTTTTTAATTGAAGGATAATTGCTTTATAGAATTTTGTTGTTTCCTGTCAAACCTCAACAGGATGTTTCTCATTTTAAGTTGTCAATAAATGTTTTCCTACTAACTATGTGTCCTTGGTTGAGCCATAGTCTAGTTTAAGGATTTTTAACAATTTCATCAACTTTTATAACTTATTAGTATTTATAACCACATCATAAAGGTCTAAAGAGATTTATTATAGCATTTTATAATAATATCCCTTTAAATAAACTGTTCTAAAAAGTAATTTCTAATACCCTTAGACTTTAAAAACCAAAGTTGTTTAAAAAAGATTAATGAAATTTAAGAAGACAGCCTAGTCACAGAGTTAAATGAAAAACTGCAATTAAAATGTTTAATGAGATATGTGCATTACTGGTTATTAGCTTAAAACATGACCAATGGGAGGTGCAATCTGTAAGTTTTCTTTAAAATGACAATGCTCAGGACCTTAACACTTCATGCTAAACCACACTATACATTATAGTCTTTGTATACTTAAAGATATTTCAAGTATAAAACTTTCACTTCCAGTTTTGTAAACCACACTATACATTATAGTCTTTGTATACTTAAAGATATTTCAAGTATAAAACTTTCACTTCCAGTTTTGTGATTCAGTTTACATTAGCTACTTTAGACAAATGCCCAAACCAAAAAAACCCTGCAATAATTGTGCATAAACATTGTAACACTAAATAAATGTACAGGTTGGGAGAAGAATGATAGAAAGTCAAAACTAAAGGTCAGTACTGTATAATGGTTTTAGTAACATTTGAAATGGAAAAGTCTTGCCTGGATTATGGGTGGCTATTCACATTCATTTCTCTGAAAATGTCTTTAGTTTTTTTTCTTTAAAACACATGAATATAAAGCAAATATCATAATCAAATATCACATGTGAAATAAAGACTCCCATTTCAGCTATTCTTGTCATTTAGACATTATTTTAGACTGTATATAGAAAACTTTTTATCTGTCATTGATTATCTATCTTTCATTCATTTTTAAAATTAAGTTAAAAATTAATTTAAATTAAATTGTTTAAATTAAAAAATTCTGTGCTTAATAAAACATATTTTAAAACATACCAGTACTCAGAAAGTATATTAACCTATGTATACCTTTCTGAAAATCTCTTGAAGAAACACCCCAGAATTTGAATGAAGAAAGGTAAACATGTGATATATAAATATATGATGACAGTAAAGCTAGTGAAACTTGTTAAGTTTAAACAATCATTGCTAACATGGCTATAAATTGTTAAGGATTTAGAAAATAGAAGGTACAAGAGGTAAAACCATATGAATTGTGAAATTTTTTGTTCTATGAAAAATGCCATTGGTAATTTGATAGGGATTGCACTGAATCTGTCCATTGCATTTGGCAGCATAGTCATTTTCACAATACTGATTCTTACTACCCAGGAACATGGAATATCTCTCCATCTGTTTATGTTGTCTTTGATTTCTTTCATTAGTATCTTATAATTTTCTATATACATTCTTTTGTCTTCTTAGGTAGGTTTATTCCTAGATATTTTATTCTTTCTGTTGCAGTGGTGAATGGGATTGAGTCCTTAATTTCTCTTTCTGATTTTTCATTGTTACTATATAGGAATGCAAGTGACTTCTGTGTATTGATTCTGTATCCTGTGACTTTGCTAAATTCATTGATTAGCTCTAGTAATTTTCTGATAGTTATCTTTAGGGTTTTCTACGTATAGTATTACGTCATCTGCAAACACTGAGAGCTTTACTTCTTTTCTGATCTGGATTCCTTTTCTTTCTTTTTCTTCTCTGATTGCTGTAGCCAGGATTTCCAAAACTTGTTGAATAACAGTGGTGAGAGTGGATGCCCTTGTCTTGTTCCTGATCTTAGGGGGAATGCTTTCAGTTTTTCACCATTGAGAATAATGTTTGCTGTAGGCTTATCATATATAGCCTTTACTATGTTGAGGTAGGTTCCTTCTATGCCCATTTTTTGAAGAGTTTTAATCATAAATGGGTGCTGAATTTTGTCAAAGGCTTTNACAGGAATTTGGTGTACGTCTCAGGGGACTCAGACAGGGGCTCTGTATCAACCTGCAGGCGTGGGATGGGGAGGGAGTGGGAGGGAGGCTCAAGAGGGAGGGCACGTATGTACACCTATGGCTGATTCGTGTCGATATTTGACAGAAAACAAAATTCTGTAAAGCAATTATCCTTCAAAAAAAAAAAAGGTAAAACTAAGTCAATCATCTAGAAATAAATTTCCACATTATTTCAACAAAATCTGGAAGCAGGCAGGGGAATAAAAACTTTTGAAAGGTCTCATCTTATTTGGGAAGTGAAAGGTGAAGATACTGTTAAAATTTTAACAATCCAAGGAAATACAGGTTCATGTATGTTTGTTAGAAATTTGCGTTAAGTATTAGTAGAATCAGAAATGAGAAGCTCTAAAAGCTGACAGGAATAAGAGGAAAAAAATTAAGAGCCAGGAGCTAGTTCTGATTCAGGGGAGTTAGGGAACCCCTCCAATTCTGTAGCCCAGAAAGTCTCCTGTCTAAAGAGCATTCTGTGGATCTGTGCTGTTGTGGGAATCAGTAAGGACACAGACAGAAGGTTAATTTTATCCTTCTGCCTGTGCAGAAGACCTAAACAGACATTTCTCCAAACAAGACATATAGATGGCCAGGAGGCACACGAGGAGATGTTCAACATCTCTGGTTATTAGATAAATGCAAATCAAAACTATAATGAGATATCACCTCATACCTACCAGTATGGCTATCATCAAAAAACCCACAAACAATAAATGGTGGAGAGGGCATGGAGAGAAGGGAACCCTCCTACAATGTTGGTGGGACTGTAAATTGGTACAGCTACTATGGAGAACAGTATGGAAGTTCCTTAAAAAACTAAAAACAGAGTTACCATATGACCCTGCAATCCCACTCCTGGGCATATGTCTGAAGAAAAACATGATCTGAAAAGATATATATATACCCCAATGTTCATTGCAACACTGTTTACAGTGACCAAGACATGGAAGCAACCTAAATGTCCATCGACGGAGAATGGATAAAGAAGATGGGGTAGATATATACAATGGAGTATTACTTGGCCATTAAAAAGAATGAAATAATGCCATTTGCAGCAACATTGATGGACCTAGAGACTGTCATGCTAAGTGAAGTAAGTCGGACAGAGAAGGAGAAATATCATATGACATTCCTTATACGTGGACTCTAAAAATAAAGGATACAAATGAGCTTACTTACAAAACAGAAAGAGACTCACAGACTTAGAGAATGAACTTACGGTTGCCAGGGGGAAGGAAGTGGGGGAAGGGATAGTCAGGGAGTTTGGAATAGACATGTACACACTGCTATATGCAAAATGGATAACCAACAAGGACCTTTTGTATAGTATAGGGAACTGTGTTCAGTGTTATATGTCAGCCTGGATAGGAGGGGAGTTTGGAGAAGAATGGATACTTGTGTATGTATGGCTGAGTCCCATGGCTGTTCACTTGAAACTATCACAACATTGTTAATCAGCTATACTCCATACACAATAAAAAGTTTAGAAAAAAATAAAGTTACACAGAATAAAAATTTAAAAATTCCCCTGGAACTAATAAGTGAGTTGAACAAGGTTGCAGTATATAAGATCAACGCACAAAAATCAACTGTATTTCTATACATTAGAAACAAGTATGTGGAAACTAAATTAAAAACACAGTGACATTTATAATCATGTCAAAGAAAACAAAATACTTAGGCACACACTTAAAACATGTTCAGGATCTCTATGATGAACGTAAGTGTTAGGTGGAGGAGATGGCAGATGTAGAGTAGAATGCCAACTAAAAAATGCAGCAGCGTTGGAAACAGAGAACTACTCATTGACAACTGTCATATAGAAGGCTGATTTAGGCAGGAGTTGTCAATGGATTCTAAAACTGGTAAAAATTTCATATGGAGAAAGTATATTAAGTATCAGAATACCTCTCCACAAAACACTAATCAATTATAAAGGGGGAAAAGTTAATTTAAGGTGGGAAAACTAGCAGTCATCAAGATGACCAGATGATCAAGGGTATCATCATGGTGGTGGGACAGGTCAACGTCATGTGCTTCTTGATATGATGCATTGAAAGGCCACAGCGTAGGTTCCAACAAATTCCATGTAGTGAAGTTTCTGCAAAGAATGTGTATCTTGAACTGGGTAAAGAAGAAACAGGGTTACACTATAGAATGTAGGCCTGTATTCTTTAAAACTGCTAAGGGCATGGAAAGGAACTGTCCAGACTGGAGAAGATGTGACAGTAGTATTCCTGAACAGACTTTGGATCAGAAAGGAAAAAGCCATTGTTGGGACAGCTGGAAAAATTTGAACAGGGTGGTTGTATTGTACTGAAGTTGATTTGTCTGCTTTGGAGAGTTGTTACACAGAAGCATTTTCATCCTTTGGAAAATGTGCATTGATAGAATACAAAATCAGATGTTAATACTTAATAATAAAGCATATAAAACAAATACTCACCAATGACTTTGACAAAATAAGCATCTGCTTCAAAGTTATTTTTTAGGGTATGGATGGCAAAATCACTCTTTGTATACCCTTTGCTTAGTACTACAATGTCCAAGATTCCCTGGAAAAAACATAAAAATGGTAAGAACAAACTATTGGATTGACTGAAAAAAATGATGAAAATGCATGACATATTTATCATGTAAATACAGACCTTACTTATTAAACTTGATATTTAACATAAAAATACTATTAAAAATATAAAACCTAGAATATTAAACTATAAATAAAATGAAAAAAAAAAACCCTATAATTTAAATCTCTGAAGATAAATGTTACTCTTATTTATTTCCTTCCAGGCTTATCTGCATGAATTAAAAAAAAAACTTATTTATTTATTATTCATGGTGCTGGGTCTCTGTTGCTGTGTGGGCTTTTCTCATTGCAGACAGCCTACACACCACAGTACTCTCCAGCTGCGTGCGGTGTGCAGGCTTCTTATTGTGGTAGCTTCTCTTGTGGAGCACAAGTTCTAGGTTGCGTGGGTTTCAGTGGTTGTGGCTCCCAGGCCCTAGAGCACAGGCCCAGTAGCTGTGGCACTTGGGATTAGTTGCTCCACAGCATGTTGGATCTTCCCAGATCAGGGATAGAACCTCTGTCTCCTGCATTGGCAAGAGGATTCTTTACCATTGATCTACTATGGAAGCCCCATGCATTAATTTTTAAAGGCCTTTGACATGGATTACCGAAGTGTTTCCAATCATTAGAGAAAGAAGGTAACTTTTTATTTGCGCTGGTTCTTATCTCTTTTCCTAAAAAAGTGGAAAGCTTTGCTAATTTTATTGGGGGTAAAAAAGGTGCTCATTTAAACTTTCATTCTGCTGACTCTTAATGAGGTCAATCATTTATCCTATCTTTTCACATGTTAGTTAGTTAGTGTTAGTTACTCAGTCGTGTCTGACTCTTAGCGACCCCATGGACTGCAGCCTGCCAGGCTCCTCCGTCCATGGGATTCTCCAGGCAAGAATACTGGAGTGGGTTGCCATTTCCTTCTCCAGGGGATCTTCCCAACCCAGGAATTGAACCCAGGGCTCCTGCACTGCAAGCGGATTCTTTACCATCTGAACTACAGGGAAGATCCATATTTCACATTAGATTTTTTTACTCACATCTTTTTGTTTTTTCTGTAAGGTGACTTAATCATGTTGTTTTTCCAGCAGGAATTTCTGGTGACTTGTATCAGTTTCAATAAACCCTTTTTATGTTATGAGTGTGGGCTTCCCTGGTGGCTCAGACGATAAAGAATCTACCTACAATGCTGGAGATCTGGGTTCAATCCCTGGGTTGGGAAGATACCCTGGAGAAGGGCATGGCAACCCACTTCAGTCTTCTTGCTTGAAGACTCCCCAAGGACACAAGCGCCTGGCAGATTATGGTCCATGGGGTTGGAAAGAGTTGGACACGACTGTACAGCCTGTTATGAATGTGGGTTTCCCAGGTGCTAGTGGTAAAGAATCTGAGTGCCACTGAAGGAGATATAAGAGACATGGGGTTGATCCCTGGGTTGGGAAGATCCCCTGGAGGCAGCCATGACAACCCACTCCAGTATTCTTGTCTGGAGAATCCAATGGACAGAGGAATCTGGCAGGCTACTGTCCATAGGGTTACAAAGAGTTGGACATGACTGAAGCAACTTAGCAGGCACACACGCATGTTAAGAATGTTAATTATTTAACTCTTTCATAGCTAATTTATCTCCTAGATTTAGATGCAATTTTAAATTTCATTTATGGTTTTTTTAATGTACAGAAATTAAAAGCTGATTTACAGTTAATTCTGCTGATTTTTCCTCTTGTTATATTTTTACCCAATTACTTTTAGGCTTGGAAATTGCTTATAAAAAGTCAAAAAAAAAAAAAAAAGTCAAACAACACAAGAGTTGGTAGCAGAGAGACAGAGGAAAACAAGGACCTGGAAGATACTTGTAATTGAAGATCAGCCTCCTATGAAAAGCAACTGGGTTTGGGTCCTCCAAATAAAACCAACTGGGTTAGCATTGGACATAGTTGTCCTGATGGAGATTTAACTTTTTAAAATAATCAAGTTATTTTACAAGGATATATTGTGACATATTAACTCTGGAATTTAACGCATTTTTATCAGAATTTACTTTTTCCTCCAAAACTGGCTTTTGACATTAGAAAGAAGAAAACCAGGACCCTGTGTGCCTTTCCCAGGCCACCTGGCAACTGAGGACAGTCACAAGAATCTGGGGCAATAGATGCCACCTCCAGTTCAAGAGGTTAAGAGAGAGTACACACTCAACTCATTCTTCTGTGATCCTGTTCAGGTTTAAGGGTTTGTCATCTGTCGGCTGTTGTTTTCTCTATTTGGGGACATGCACAATTGCCGTGAGCATATTTCTCTAGTGATTTCATCTAAACAAGCATAATATGAGATAAAGATGCTTTCATATTTCACTGTTCTGATCAGCCAGTGGTATCAATTAATTTGTTCTTTCTGTCATTTAACTTTAAAAGGGATTTTCTTTAATTAACTCGTTTGCTTTCATTATCTCATCTATTGTCTGGTTAAATAGGGTGAAGTGAAAATGAGACAAGGTAGAAGGCAATTAGATTCCAAACACACAGAAGAGCTCTGAACTCACATCTTCGTAAATGTCAAAGAAGGTGGCAACCACTGCATCTCTGATTTGGTTTAGGTCCATCAGCTCCCAGTAGACTTTAAACATACGATGTGCCCCCTCACAGCTTGCATTATTACAAGGGACATTCTCCAGTAAAAAGGCCTGCTGATTGCTGTGAGACAAAGGAGAGGTATTTAGTTAATAATAAAACATATCAGTGCTGAGTAACATCAACTGTGTTATATTTCCTAGAACCAAAGAGATGGTAAATGGTATCTACTGAAGAAATGTGAAAAAAATCTCAATGTCTTAATAATTGTTGTCCTAAGTCATAAAAAGCTTAAATTGTTGGCTATCCTTTTTCAGCCTTTGGCAAAAATCCTCAGGTTAGTCAGTTGTTGGCCTCTCTCTCTCCTTTTTTGGTTCCCAAGTCTCTCTCTGTGCTCTCCTTTGCTGTTCCACAGTCAGTGAACCCAGTGTTTCATTACTGAGTTCCTGGACACTGTCATAATCCCTTTAGACGTGTATAACTCCTCAGGTGAATAGCTGCATTTTAACTGGAGACTCCTGACATCCCTAAGTCTTACAAACCCTAAGCAATAAGTCTACAATGATAGAATTTTAGCTTCCCAGATGGATAGTAGGCTGAGCACCTTTCAGATAAAAGATAGAAAAAACAACAACAACAAACTATTGTATTTTGCACAGCTATGAAATCCTCCCTTTTGACAATCTTACTCTATAGGCAATGTGCTTATGAATTTAGATTTTGGAATCAGACTACCTGGATCCAAATTCTGTTTCTGTCATTTAGAAGTTATGTGACCTTAAGAAAGTTATTTTACCTCTTAAAGACTCAGGTCCTTATTTGTAAGCTGAGTAATAAGTACTTATAGAATTGTTACAAAAAAGAAATGAAATACGGACTGCAGAGCACTTAGAACAATTCCTGCCATCCAGTCCAATCTTAGTAAAAGTGTTTATACTGTTATCACCACTGTTATTAAGTAGTGTAACACCATGCCACGTAAACATATTTTCTTTAAATACAGAAATAACTTTAGTAAATAGTGTGATTTTATAAAATGACTCCTGTATTAGGCATTTTCTAATATTTACATTCCTTAATGTCCCTTTATGTTACATAGAAAATAATAAGCTAAAAGGTTTAAATTTTATTACTGTTCAATTTTCTCTAATAATTATTTTAAATAAAACTATAAAGACATTTCTTTTTTCATGTGAAAATATTATTTTGGGTATTACTTTGGGTTTGGGCATTTTAGAAAAGAAAGTTCTACTGTAAGAAAGGTAAAATATTTTAGTGTTCAAGAGAGTAATGAAACACAAGTAAAATATTCGTTTGATGTACTTAATATATGATTGGTTTCACAGTATTTTCCTAGTTAAAAAATTTTAAAACAAATAGTTTAAACTTACAGATTACAACATTTACATGGAACATTTTGAGGTGGCTTTGATCAAGACCTAACATATAATAATGTTCTTCCACCAGAAGGAAAAATAACTTCTACTTTGTCTCCTAATAACTGATTTTAAAATTCTATTTTGTAATGTTGGTTGGTGCAAAAGTAATAGTAGTTTTGGACTCTGGATTTTAAATCATTATAATTAGGCTCAAACACATCTTTATTAATAAAAACCAGAGCCATTTCAGTCAAAACATTTTTTCCAACAAGAAATAAATTTGCTTATTCCTATAGCATAAAAATCTGTGCTTTGGGAATTGACAAATTCTTGGAAAGCCTCTTCCGCCTCCTGTTGCTTGTGGAAGCATTTTCCCTGCAAAACGTTGTTGAGATGCTTGAAGAAGTGGTAGTCGATTGGCCGAGAGGTCAAGTGAATATGGCAGATGAGGCAAAACTTCATAGCCAAATTAGTTCAACTTTTGAAACGTTGGTTGTGTGACGTGTGGTCAGTCATTGTCGTGGAGAATTGAGCCCTTTCTGTTGACCAATGCTGGCTGCAGTGTTGCAGTTCCTGGTGCATCTCATCAATGTGCTTAGCATACTTCTCAGGTATAATGGTTTTCCCGAAATTCAGAAAGCTGCAGTGGATCAGATCGGCAGCAGACCACCAAACAGTGACCATGACCCTTTTGTCAGTGCAAGTTTGGCTTTGAGAAGTGCTTTGGAGCTTCTTCTCAGTCTAGCTATTGAGCTGGTGGATATCGGTTGGTGTATAAAATACACTTTTCATCACACTTCACAATCTGATCGAGAAATAATAGTTCACTGTTGTTGCCTAGAATAAGAGAAGATGATACTTCAAAACAACAATTTTTTGGTTTGTGGTCAGCTCATGAGGCACCCACTTATCAAGCTTTTTCACCTTTTCAATTTGCTTCAAATGCCAAACGATCATAGAATGGTCAATGTAGCGTCCTTCAGCAATTTCTTGTGTTGTTGAAAGAGGATCAGCTTTGATGATCCTCTCAGTTGGTCGTTGTCAACTTCCAATGGCCAGTCACTGTGCTCCTCATCTCCTTTGCAAAACTTGAACCACCACTCCACTGTATGTTCATTAGCAGTTCCTGGGCCAAATGCATTGCTAATGTTGCGAGTTGTCTCTGCTGCTTTACAACCCACTTTGAACTCGAATAAGAAAATTGCTTGAACTTGCTTTTTGTCTAACATCATTTCCCTAGTCTAAAATACATATAAAATAAACAGCAATATTTCATTAGCAAAATATATAAAGCAAGAAATGCACCTTAGAATGATGTATAACATAACCACATTTATTTAAGAATATATTCCACTATCAAATGGCAAAGTTCAACAGTGCAAAACTGCAATTACTTTTGCACCAACCTAATACCTTTTTACAGGTATTTACCCATCCAACCCTTTTAGCTAAACAATTTTACTATATATTTCACAGAAATGAAGAATACTCTATGTTGTTATTAAATAATATTAAAACATGAGAACCAGTGATAAAGGTGACTTTTCTTTTCTCTTTTTGGATACGCCATGCAGCTTGTGGGATCTTAGCTCTCTGACCAGGGATTGAACCTGGGCCCATGGCAGTGAAAGCACTGAGTCTTAACCACTGGAGAGCCAGTGCAGCCTTTCTACAATCTTCTATGACCAATGCATCACGCTGGCAACATTCTGAGTGAGCACTTGTCTCTGGTTTCCCTTTTCAAAATGGGGATGCAAGGATTTCATTATTGTATTACAACTCTAGCCATAGTTTCAAATACACAATGTAACCTGCAACAAAAACTCTAATTGCATTTGAATAATTTAATATGTCATTTTAACTTCAGATATGAATTTGTAAAGATTACAAATGCTACATATCACAGTTCTTGGCTAAACGCTCACTGAACAGATTTGTCTTGTATTCTGCAACATGGGGTCTGAAAAATGTCAGTTCTTTTAAGCTCTAATGACCCCTCTAGGTAGAGCCCCACATCTATAAAAATAAAATTCCATTTAAGCCCGGGAAGACACAATACTGATTCATTAGGTTTGGAAACCCTTGGGGGGGAAACAGTCTTGCTTCTTTGAGTCAATTGCTCTATGTTTTTTTGCAACTACACAATTACAACCAACATAACTTTTAAAAGCAATAGAGACATTAAAAATGTTGAAATCTTTTCTTTCCAGGGATAATCACTGTTGACAATTTAGTAAGCATCTTTCCAAACCTTCTTCTGGGGACATAAATTTAAGTACATATATCCTTAAAAAAAAACAAACAAACCCCAGTTGAGTTCTACTATACTTATGATTCTGCAATATTTTTCGTTCTACTCAATAATATAGCATACACATGGGGAAAAGGGATACAGTCTGAATGAGGACTGTTGGTATCTATTTTGAAAATGCCCCCCAGAGAAGCTGTACCAATTTACACTCCTCAGCAGCAGCACAGCGCGCTGCCTATCTCCCCACACGCACATCCTTTTCAAAGCTTCCTCCATCGTACAGCTAAGTCATCATTCAGTTTCAATACCCCGCTACTGATAGTCAGGTTGTCTTCAACTGTTCCCCATTACACACACATTATTTTTCATTGAGAATTTGTATAAGGGTTTCCATACACACACATTATTTTTCATTGAGAATTTGTATAAGGGTTTCCAAATAAAGTCATCTAGTCAAAGGATATGCATATTTTAAATATCAACAGGTAAAGCTAAATGGTCTTCTAAAAAACGAACCAATTTATACTTCTAGTAGTATACAAGTATATCCTTCTTATCTCGCCAATGTTAGTAACACTGCTTAGTTTTGCCAATTGGGTAGCTGAAAAATTATCTCACTTTCCTGATTATGAGAGATGCTGAGTATTACCTCTATGTTTATCATCTGTTCATATTTCTTTTAAGAACTGGTACTTTAATTTTTTTAATTATTGGTTTTTAGATCTCTGATTGTTAAGGGCATTAGCCCCTACCTGGGATTCTCATATTTTTACTTGTAAAATGAGGGTAAAAACAGTACATTACCTAAAATGGCTGTTGTAAGGATTAAATGATAAAATAAATGATAAATGGCTTATGGTTTAATATAGTGCCCAGTACATAGCAAAGAGCACTTTCAATGTCTGCGGTTATTATTATATGTGATGTTATTACTCTGATATGTTCCAAACATGTCATTCCAGCCTTTTATTTTGCTTTTTAATGCATGGTTTCTTTAACTAAATGATTAATAATACATGAAACTGTTAGTCACTTAGTCATGCCCAACTCTTTGTGACACCATGGACTGTAGCCTAACAGGCTCCTCTGTCTGTGGAATTCTTTAGGCAAGACTACTGGAGTGGATTGCCATCATCTTCTCCAGGGGATCTTCCCAACTCAGGGATCAAAACTGGGTCTCCTGCATTGCAGGCAAATTTGTTACTGTTTAAGCTACCAGGGAAGCCCTATAGTAATACATAAATACTTGTTTATTTTTCTTATGTACTATAATAAATGTTAAAGAAAATCTATCAGGCAGATAGAAAAAAACACCCGAGGAGTATGTGCATTTACAAAAATGAATGAAGAGCAGTGAAAATGTGAAATACACAGGCAAACAGAAAAGATTTTCATGTTATTTCAGTTCAGTTCAGTTCAGTTGCTCAGTCGTGTCCGACTCTTTGCACCCCATGAACTGCAGCACGCCAGGCCTCCCTGTCCATCACCAACTCCCGGAGTTCACCCAAACCCATGTCCA